CAGACAACCCCGTAACAATATGCGTTTTGTACTGCTGTTACACAGCACAAAACGCATAAAAATAACCAACGAACCGCTGCCCGCGCGAAGATGCGTTTTCTACATAGTTCCCCGCAGTTTTTGTCGTTACCAACGCCTGTCTTTTCGGCAAATGCTTCTAGCTAAACAAATTAAGATTGGCCGCCAAAACTGTTAGGAAACACCCTCTTAAAATTTCGGTTTCCTAGCTTTCCTGGTTCCTGAGTTAGCAACTTACCCGAAAAAAAATTTGGTGGGCCCGTATGTGAGTACCACGCGTACCCGGAATCTGGGTTTGAGCTCAGTGAGACTTAGGTGGACGGGGAATATCCTCTTAAAATTACAGTCCTTTAGATTTTCAAATTCCCGAGTTATCAACTTAGCCGAAAAAAACTTTGACGGACCCGTGCGTGGGTATCACGCAACACACGACGCTAGGTTTGAGCACATTAATATCACTTGGCCGGGGAACATCCCTTGACATTTCAGCCTTCTAGCAGAATTATCAACTACCCGAAAAAAAAACTTTCACAGGCCCGTACGTGGGCACCGTGCTTGCTCGGCGATGGGCTTGAGCTCATTAATAGCCACTTGGACGAGGAGCATCCCCTTAAGATTTCAGCTTTCTATCTTCTCAGATCCCTGAGTTATGAACTTATCCGTAAGAGACCTGGGCAGGCTCTTACGTGGGTACCACGCAGGTAATGCCGCCCATTTTGGGGATTGGAGCCCGTACGTGCATGTAGATTAAGTTCCCGTAGTTTCAGCCCCGTAGCTTTTGTAGCTCTCGAGATGAAAAATCGGGACAAATGCACACACAGACAACCCCTTGTCAATATGCGTTTTTGCACTGCATAGCTGCAAAAAAAAAAAACGCGTGAAAAATAAGATTCCATACGAAGGTACTGCCTACCCAAGTACTACGAATTGCCGCCCGGAACTCAATGAATGCTTCCGCCAGCCTCACCATATGGGTTCCAAATTAGAACACCATTAGGGATATAAAATTCTCCGACGACGAGGACACCCCAGGCCACAGTTCTAACTCGCTTTTTTCCTATCCTACGGACGAATATGGCGCTTTCACGCGTGGCTTCAGTGTCATATAAAACTAATTGTTTTAAAAATGCACGCATAACTGCCGGAAAACTACCACAAAACCGGCCTGCTGAAACGATTACAAGAAAAAAAAAACATTTACTTTTCAAGTTTGCCACTTTTTTTTTTTTGCCAAAACCGCAACAAATAAAATTGAAAAATAAATCAACAAAACAACAGCACAAAGAGGAAAGAAAAAATGTGAACAGTTTGACATACACACAAACACACAATTAAAAAAACCACTGTAAACAAAAAAGCCCCAGCAAAAACTTACAGCTTACGAGAAAATCTTACTGAGAGGTACTTCAACATAAGCAAAGAGTAACAACATCCAAATGTACTGCAAAAAGAAGCTAAAAAGAGAGAGTAACAGACTAATGGAAAGGAAAATTTTATAAAAAGGATGGCAGCTGAAATCCAGCACCGATCAAAAGCGCACCAAGCGATTTTAGACCCCAAACAATGAGAACTTTTAGACTCTGACATACAAAAAATCAAACGACTATTTTGCTGCTTTCGCGCACAACTAAACGCCTTCTTATTTACAAGAATAAACTTTTCAGCTAATGTTACACTAGAACCGTTTAACAACAGACAATGCTTGGGGATCATGTCCGCTGCGCTTGTTTCCTTTGCCTTGGTACTCCCTTCGGCGACTTGCCTAAAATTTAAAATTTTATGAATATATGAACTGAAAATTTTATATTTCCAACAAATTGCCAACAAAAAAAAAAAATATTTTTCTTAAAAAAAGCGAACTTTAAGATAAAAAACACTATTCATAAAAAAGTCCTTTTTTCGAAAAACTGAAAATACTTACTGTGATTGAGTATTTCACGCGGTATCCATTCGAAGTCCACTTCATTTTTGTTGCCTGTGCCCATTTCGATAGGCTGTGCCTGTCGACTTTTTGCCATTCCATGCTTCCTTGTTAACTGAAACTCTTCCACAAATGCTTAGAAATAAACACTCGAAACTCAAAAATGTACTATCACTTGGTCAAATTCTGTGTAGCAACTCATCAAAATTATGAAGTTTCCAAAAAAAAAAAGTGAAAAAGACCTTTGAGAGGAAATGCTGTCCAGCTAACAATATTAGTACGACCACAGCTGCAAAGATCACGTATAAAAATCCGGTCTCCGTGTTGAAATTTGATTCATCCTCAATAATCGTCACAGTTTCATTGAAAACTGAATGCACAAACGCTTTGCCATCATTATCCTCATAGTGCAACTCAACCACAAGTCCCAGCGGTCGCCCGGCGAATTGATCTGACGGATAGAACGCATAGCTGAACGTTGCTTCCTGTTTGACGGCCACCACACGATTATACTGCATTCGCGTAAACTGAAAATTT